CTCAGCACCATTGCACTCAGCACGCGCCACCCAAGAATGATTACAAAATGAGGTTCATCGCTTCATTTCCAGCGCACAATGGCCACCAAAATCTCCGGATACCGATCCGTTGGACTATTGTTTCTGGAGTATTTTAGAAAGCTAGGCTGGCACTAAAAAATAACAAAGTATCGATCACCTCAAGCAAGCGCTTTGCCGGGAATGGGCCAAAATACAGCAGAGCAACATTCGGGCAGCGTGTGACGATTTCATTGACCTTTTGAACGCCATAATTCGTGCCAAAGGAGACCAATTCGAACAATTCTAAACTTATTCTAAAATTTCAAAAGTTTTCTTTCAATAAAATTAAAAAAAAATGTAAAAATTATGGCGTTTGACTTTGTTGCAGTTTTTTCATATCACCCTGTATTCTACTGATTTCGGGTTAATTGTGCACCAATTGGCCAATATCAGTCCAAATGACTTAAATGTTGGCACATCCGACCGAATTCAGTCTAGAAGCAAAAAAAACAAATTTGGTGAAAACCGGTTCAGATATAGCTATAGCTTCCATATACATCCGATTTAGTTATTAAATCCCGTTCGTAGTATGCACTTCATAAGAATGATATTTGGTATTGGCCCAAAACTACTTCTGCCAAATTTTATCGAGATCGGTTCAAATTTGGATATAGCTCCCATATATATCTTCAACCGATTTCGGGTTAATTGTGCACTAAGTGGCCAATATCAGTCCAAATTACCTGAATTTTGGCAAATCAGACAAAATTTAGTCTAGAAGCATGTAAATCAAATTTGGTGAAAATCGATTCAGAATCGGATATGTCTCCCTCCCTCTGAAACCAAATTATAACTGCTCTAAACCCATTGGTTGATAGGTGGTATGATCTGCTTCAAATAATTTCGTTTGTTTCGGGAGCTCTACTAAATATGCATAGTGGTGTAGGGTATCATATAGGCGGACCCGCCTGACTTTTGACTTTTCATTACTGGTTAAATTTACTTTTGCCAAATTATGAGTACTTATAATAAAAGTCTAGCTTTTGATAGAATAATTGTATGAATTAAGTTGTTGCAAGGGTCACGTATATTTTCCTATCGGCTGAAAATAAGTATTATGAAGTTTTGATTTTTATATCCCAAATAAAGTGAGTACCTGGCCTACAATGATGGTAATTTTAGTATCTCATTTCTGTCAATTTTCTCTATTTGATACAAACCCAATATAATCTATGATATCAACATCGACAACTCCTCCCTGTACCTCCCGAAACAAAGGCTCAGTATTATGAATCACCAAATCTCCAATAATATGCGAAAAAATTCCTCCCGCAAACTCGCACATCTCAATATCTCTACAAATAGTAGACCTTGTTTAAATATGTGTATATCGGTCTTCTCTTACCCACAAACTGAGGAACGTTTTAAATAATCAAATATTAATCAAATATGAAATCGAATGGAATCCTTGCTTTAGTTGAAACTTCCGTCGTAATATTTGTTTAAAGTTAAGATCAATTGCGAACATGAACATGAATGATTGACACCTCTCTAAACTAGGGTCGAAATCTGTAAGAAATCATCGATTATCTTCAAACCTTACTTATATCTGTATTTCTATAGTGGTAAAATCCAGTCTGGACATGGGATATACATACACGAATCACATAGAAAACAAACGAAATCCACGATTTCGAAGGTGGACAATTTTAGGAGATGCCTTCCCTAAAAATGGCTAAAATTTTGAAATTTCCTAGCTTCCTAAAGGACTCTTAGTATATTTATATTAATTTATACGATACCGCAAATAGTTTATTTTTTGATTAAAAATTCTTGGGAGCTTCTAGAAGCAGACCAAAAAATGCTACAGATGATTGTGGAAAAAGTCACATTACATATAGCTCCAGCATCATGTGAAATCTAGCCTTAAATTAGAAATCAGTTTCCGAATTCCAAAGTTCAATAAGATTCTAAAATTAAATAATATAATGCCAGCAACAAAGATCAATACATTAAAACTTATTCGAATATGTTTTCATGTTGTGAACAACATTTTCCTATTTAAAGGTGGCGAGATTTTTCAAAGTCATCTTCTTGGTCCATAGTCGGCAAACTTTTGCCTTAGTTTTATCTATCTCTATTTGTAATACTAAAATATATGTTTTAAATTTTCCCGACGGTAAGTTTAAGCTGTATACCCCAACATCTCAATCCATTTTCTCCAGCCATTAAAAATTAGCACGAGTTATTGCATTTGTCTGCATTTATTCTAGAATCTAGATTGATATCTGACAATAGCAATATAAACTTTATGGCATTTCGTATTGCTTACAGTTTTATTGTAATTGTTTTGCGTGATTTATTTTGATTCAATTTGATTTGAATGAAGGGGAAAACAGCTATTCAAAAACAAATCAATAGATTCAAATTTATATTTGAAAACTAGTTTTGATTTATCAAGGTAGGGTAGACAACAAAACATACAATTAATGCCTGAAAATTATTTTGTCAGAGAAGTTATTGCTTGGCTCTAACTTGAGATGAAAATTAATTTTTGTCATAACAATTTACATTCAGTCTCATTGATTTTAAATGAAATTGTTAAATTGGTAATTAAAAAAAATAGTGTTGAAATAGGAATTATTTTTCTGCCTTAAACATTTGTCCCGCCATTTTCCATTAGTTGTTCTAAAAATATTGTTCAAGCGCTCAACTTTGATTGAACATGACCATAAACTTCACTCTAAAATGTTCAACACAATTCCCAAGCGGGAACATTTCTAAGGTTTCTCTAAAACACACGCAAACACGCACACACACAACCATAAGTTATACGCAAACTACGAAATAATCACTTGAAATGAAAATTTGCCTTTCCCCCTCCCTGCTTTCATTACTCAATTGCACTTTGAACTTTGTGGGGAAAAAGTTCAACTTGAAACTTTATTCGTGCAAACAACTTGTAATTATCATTACCACCCACCCATGGCAAGAAATAGTTAAGGTATCACTTGAGAATTCACACACACACACACACACACACACACTCACCATCATTAAACATATACATACGTATACGCATACGCATACACAAAGGAAAATCCCCCCAAAAAAAGTTGGAAATTCCATAACACTCTCTTTCAGTTGTGTTAACAAGGATACAGAAATAACAATGCGTTTATCAATTGCGAATGGCCCAAAAAAAGAATCAACACGCGAACGAACAATGGCTACAACAAAATCCCGAAGGTAAATGAGAGTGGAGTTACAACGAATAATCAGCTGTTACAATCTTGTGAAAGGCAGAGCCACAACAGCACAACTTTAACAGAAACAGCTGAGCTGCAATGAATCTCTCCGAAAGGGAGAGAAAGGGGGAAGGCGGTCGAAGTATAAATATGTATTCAACTGCAAACGAGTTAAGCGCCACGACAATAACAATAACATTGACCGTTTGTTTATGTGAGAAGACACTTGAAGCCGGTCGGTGTCCGGTGGTCATTCGTCAATTGCTGTAACCATCGGAATGTTTTCATGCGTAGCTGTGTGTGTGTGCGTAAGTGAGTAACACGAATTTACACCACCAAAAACATAAACAACCGGCAAAAGTGTTGCTGTTACCAATTTTAACTCTGCCACCCATTATGCCTCCCCACATATTTGGAGAACTGATTAAATTCGACATGGACTAATAATTTGTAATATTTGGTAATTTTGAGATTTGAACTAATTTTACAAAATTTCTACCCGTATTTTTTACTGGACTACAATTAGATTATGTCGTTACTACAGAACAATTGAAGCTTATTTTTAGTTGAATTTAATGCTTCTGGCAAAGACATTAATGGAACAAATGATTTTTATTAGGAGAAAATAATCCCCTAACTTTTCTGGGGCTGTCCCGATCATGGCAATAGGTGCGTTCAACACGAACTAAATAAAAAAATAATATTCAATAATGACAGCAATCTTAATTTGTGATTAGAAATCTTAATTCTGGACACATTTTGTAATTCCATACATCACTGAGGCTATTTGCAAAACACCAGACAGTAACTGGTCAGACTGAAAAAAAATGAAAAACGCGCGATAACAAGATTTTGAAATGTAAACAAAAACAACAACTTTAAAGACGCCGGCAATGGGCCAACGGCGGTTAGCAAAAGCAGAAGAAAAAAACCATCATCAACAACAGCAGCGGCAGCAGTCGAACTCTAGAGATATGCTCAGAATGATAATAAACAAAGCAAATGCAACTTTAAAGGCCAGGCGGCAATGTAGCCGGTGACAGCCACATCTACGGAGGAGATGACGGCGGGGGTGGCCCATTTGAACGCACTTTTCGCACGAGACTCGTTTGCATGGAGATGGGAATTTGCATTCAAATATTCCCAAAGAGCAACTACAAACTGGCAAAAAATAAAGAGAGTGAGAGTCTTGCAGGGGCCAGCTGAGGTGGCTGCAATGTTGTTGGTAGGTGGGTGGTAAATAAATAAACCTTTTGCACTAACATGCCCACGACACACACACACCCACTCTCCGACTAACATATACTCGCGTGCAAATGCAATGAGAACGAATTTTTTGCATAGACCCCCAAAAAGAAATAGGCCTCATTTCTGTTGTTATTGTCGTTGTATTTGTTTTCGCCGTTGTTGTTATTGTTGTTCTGTTCATCTTCGTTTGTTTGAATAAAAACTTGAATTGGGGGAAAAATAATCAATTTTCATTGCAGTTTTTCAAAAAAAACCAAATTTGCTCGCATTTTCAAATCACTGCCTCAACACAGAAAATCAATTCATAGATAACTTTATTTTGTTTTGATTTATTCATTTGCACATTTTTTTTCATCTTCTGTTCGCCATTCACTCATCACTGGTTTCAATTGATTTCCAATCGAATTCAATTCAATTTCAAATTTCAATTAATTTTGCAAAACTTTGTTTTGTTGTTGTTGTTGTTGCCGTTGTCGACAACAATTTATTATCATTTGTTATTACACTAATTCTAGGATGGAACACCACAAACACTTGTCGTCGCTGTGATGGAGAACACACAGCGCTCTGCTAATAATCTTCGATAGGTAAATGTATAGGTAATAGAAGCAAGCGCTCGCGACAACTACCGACACGATACTGTTTGCTAAACTGTCTTTCACATGCGACGTAACTCGATGAGGAGATAGATGTATTCTTCACAATAATGCCGAAATACGAACGGTCGGTTGACTGCCTGGCTGGCTGGTTGGTTGCTTGGTCGGTTGGCTTGCTGGCTGGCTGGCTGGCTATGCAGCGTTTGCAGTGACGACGATGACGACAACACCAAACGATAATAGCGGCATCCCAAACAGAACAAACTTACAACAACAACACCAACAAATACACAATGCCATGCAACAACACTCTCAAATGCATGACTAGCAAAAAAAACTATAAAACCGCCAGCAGCAGCAACAACAACATCAAAAACAAGAGCAAGAACATTTACGAGAATCAAAAGTACACCGACACGAAGCTAACATGCAAAAATCACATACTCACACTTAAGTTTTCCACTCTCTTGAGAGAGGCAGAGTACCCACAGTTACAGTGGATCACACCTCCCCACTTAGGGTAACACACAAACATACACATGTACATACATATGCGCCAGACATAACCCCACAGCTCTCTGTGTATCGAATGCAAAAACAAAAGCAAAAAATGCAATTCAAAACACTGCACACCGACTGCAACAGTACTGGAGCAGTGGCAGACGGGCACACACACAAACACACCTCTTTACACCTTTTCAATCAAACTCACATTTATTGCGGCTGCATGGAGAGTACCATGAAAGCTTATTTCTCTTTATTTTCTAGCCATTCAAAATGCCGGTTCATTTTAGATTTCTGAAAAGCTTTCAATTTGTAAACAAAATCAATTTTCTCTTTTTATATGAGAAAGCTTTGTGATTATGTGAAATACAATCACAATGCGTGCAGGTACACATATAGCATATTTAAAGGAAACGGATGTGACGTGTAATTTGCACAGTGGAAAAGAGTTGTCGAAAAATGTTCTCTAAAAATTATTATAAAAGCATTATACAAAAAAAAATAATTTCGCCTGTTTTTCCATGTGTTAAATAAATATGGCGATCTCTAAGTACTAGAAGGAGTAAAAAATATATTAGAATATAAAAATTTGAAAGAAAATCATGGCTCTCATGTTATAAAATTTTTAATTATTGAATACTTTAACCTTTGTGGAGGAGGTACCAGAAGCAGTGTACCGATATTACCCATCTTTACACCAGATCTTGTGTTGGTAGAAATGTTAGAATGTAGCAACGTTAAAAGAACCGGAGGGTCATTTTGGAGGCTTTTTTGTTTAAAAATTTGACAATTGGGGGGAGTACCAGAAGGAGCTGTCCTTATTATATTATCTTCATACCAAGAGATGATAAAAATATATGGACGTACTAAACCTTAATTCATTCGGGCTCTACCGATATTCGGACTACCTACCGATATTCGGTAGTTTGATGACTTAAGTTATACAGGGTGAGATAAAAAACTGCAACAAAGTCAAACGCCATAATTTTCAATTTTTTTTTTAATTTTATTGAATGAAAGCAAAAAATGTCGGAAATAGCATCAAATTTTAGAATACGTTTAGATTTGTTCGAATTGGTCACCTTTGGCACGAATTGGCACGGTGTAAATTCTTGCACTTTTTGGAATTTCAATGGCTTTACCCCGAGTTAATTTTTCAATATTTGACTATTGCGATATGTTGAGCTCACGAGCCATGTTTCAGCCTCTGCAAAGCGGGTTTCGATTAACTCACTTCTTTACTTATCGAACCATTTCTGCTGATGTTGCTGTTTTCTTCCGTCCGCTTCCTTGACGCCGGGCTACGCTACCAGTATCACGGTAACGAGCGATGGTACGAGACACAAAAGATTTATTCGCATTTGAATGCTGGAGTGCTCTAAGGATAGCCACTTGTAATTTTCCATCCAAATCAGAAATCACACTATCACGCATGAATTTCATGACGAATAACTTTTTTTTCTGGAAAGTTCTCACCAAAATTCTTTTGTACGCTTGTAAACAATAAAATGAGCTGTCACTGGAATAATTCTAACAGCTGTCAGGCGAGTGACTTTGAAATGACAGCAGTCTGAAGTTGGTTGCAGTTTTTTCATCACACCCTGTATGTATTGTGAAACCGTGGCCATTCCCCACTTAAGTATACTTAAAACCTTGAAATTAACTTCTGCCGGGTAAAAAGTTAAATATATGTAAAATTCGTTGTTTTTACAATTTCTGAACATTGCTACAATAATATAAAACCCCCTCAAATCTGTCGGTATCTCTTTAAAAGTTACCGGAATATTGGGCGCCTGGTATTTTAAAGACATGTAATATGTCTTTTGAACACCTCAAACTTCAAATTTCCATTAATTCGGTCAAAAAATGCCACTGAACGTAAGAAACTTCAAATCGTGCGTCTGTTTCAAATAGCGGACTTGCAATACAATTTTTTTTAAAGGAAGAACGTAACAAACTCTAAAGTTTAAATTAAAGATGATTTGGTTAAAATTATTTTCCGGAAACTTCATTTTGGGGGATATGACAAATATCTATGCCAAATTGTGTATTGATCACGGATGTATACACTGTATAGTGTCTCGAAGTGTTCCGAACGGAATGAGAAACATTATATACTCTCCATTTATTGTTGAAAGCTATAAAACAGAAGAACCAACAACTTATATTGCTGTTTATTAATTATTGTCTATGGGTCATGTTAATGAGATAGTGTGCAGCGACATCTAGTGAACATATAATACACAATACCTTGGTTCTTGCACTTAATGAAAAGAAGTCAGATGGGTGTGGCAACTACGACAAGTTCGAAATTCAGGTGCACACATTCTGTGGTGAAATGGTAAATGTTCGAAAGACTTTTGTTGTGGATTGTGTCTACACTAAAGTGACTTGATTCAGAAACTACAGGGCCACACAGACAAACACAATATTGTAAATTACTTAATTCACAGGTTGGTTCAAAAGAATGGCAAGAAGTACTATCTTTGATTTTACACATTTTACTTAGATTTTAAATTTTGGCTATAGAACGTATTCAGAAAATAACAATTCCGAATAATTATTTTATTCCGCTTCATAAATAAAATTATAGAACAGTGTTGGCATGTTTTTTTGGTATCCCGTAGTTTTTTTTTACAAAAACAACAATAATGAGATTAAACCTAACTATTTTGCAACAATAAAACATATATACCTACTTCTAAAATTTAAATTTTCAAAATAAAAGAAAGTCAAGCGGTATTAAAAAATAAAATTATAAAATTATTAAGCATCGTAAATTGCTTTCAGTACCGACAAATCAACAGTTAACAACCCATAAAACTAACAGCAAGAAACAACAATTATTCCAAACATGTCTGATGTATCTATCTTCATGTAGCATTTCTACGAATTAATCGCTGAAAAAAACTAAATGTACTTTTTTGGTTCAAGTTATTGTTTACACACGCCTCAACATGCTCACTTGTATCATTTGTACTCATACATAACACATCAAACCTGTTTTGTATGGACTAATGTTTATCGGCAGATCTTTTGAGGAGAACCAACTTCCTTTTAGTACTATCTCCACAAAGAACAAATCACACAAAAATAAATTATCAATGGGTATAACAAAAGCACCACGTCATTGCGATGCGCACCTGCATTCATACACACATATTTCCTTTACGATACAAAAGTGGAAAATGTTTTCATTCAAAGAGAATGTTCTTTTATTGTTTACTTTTCAATAGAGAGTATACATATGTATGTACATCTAACTTGATTACAATTTAAGTGTTCCTCTTGGTGGATAGTTGAAACAAAAAGTTCGACCAGCCGAACTCAATATTTTTTTCACCCTATATTGGATTGGGAACAAGATGGAACTTGTGCCTTTTTTGACACAGCTTCCAAAATTTAAATCGAAACTGAATCTATATGCCATTGTAATATAATCCACTTCATAAAAATAATTATAGAAAGTTAATTAAATACAGCAATTTTAGCAAACCCTCAACACGGCGACATTTGGCAGCAATTAGCCAAATTTAGAGATCTCGTGACAGATTTCAAAACAAAAAGATTCATAATATTGATCGCAAAATTTACAACGTGACATTGATCATGTAGAGGTACCAGCTCTTTACAATTTCATCAAGTGGTGTGTGGTTGTATTCAAACACAAACAAAATTCAGATTGCTTTATTGCCGTTCCGTATTGCACTCACGAGAAATCCATTGAAATAACATTCATTTTGTAATATTTATAAAATATGGCCAAAAGCAAGAGAGTTAAGTGTTTATTTTGAGCACGTATCTGACATGATGGGTTTCGGCAGTGTGCCATTCAATGGCCATTCTCTGATGAGAGAAGTATTTTCAGTAATTGTGGCGGTTGGGAATGTTTATCAATCACTCTGAGAGTCTATTTAATACGATAAATAAATACAATGAGAGTCGAGAGGTCCATTCATTTCTATGGTTGCCAGTGTGATTCAAATGTTCATTAATTCCACAAATATTTGTAAACGTTAGTCTCTTAGTTTATTTAAGAAGTACCTAGTTTAGTAGCTTGGAAACCCAAGTAAAGTCATCCACTTTATTCCCTCCATCGTGAGGAAAATGTGAAACATTTATTTGTTCAATTGAGTAGTACCGTAATATAAAGTCCGCAAATAGTATGGGGTTTCAGATAAAAAAATGTTTTAAGCTCCCGTAACATTAAATGTAGAGTGTAGAATAATGTAGGACAACTAACTACTTATCACCAAAAATTGTAAAATTCTTACCAGAATAGTTGAGGACTCTGAAATTACCTTAAACGTGAAAAAAAGTACTAAATAAAATTTCAATATTTTATGGTACACGAGATATTTGTGGTAAAAATGTTTGGTCATTTTACCAAGCAGCACAGCACAGAAACATGTTAACCTTGGGTAGATGGCAACGTTTATTTTCGCACGTTTATGTTTTTTACAATTTGGATAAAGGTGCATATGTATATAACATATTCACATATTTATACGAATATCAGCGAGAGAAAGAATGCAATTTAAAAGACATAAAAAACATGTTTGAGGGAATTCCTCTCTGTTTATATTTGTTGTTGGTTTTGGTAAGTCGTGTGAACTTCCCCACCAAGTGATGACAAATAAAATGAGAGATTGTGAAAAGAAAATAAAACGAAGGGAACATTGAACTTTGAGGTATGAGTTTATAAAAGGTGAATCGAGTCGTGCCGAAATGATGCAAATGCAATAAAACTGTTATCGTCGTAGGTATGTGAGGGATATTTTTATATCAAAGTCAAATACCATAATGTTTACATTTTTTTTAATTTTATTGGCGAAATAGCATCAAATTTTAAAATAAGTTTAGATTTGTTCGAATTGGTCACCTTTGGCACGAATTATGGCTTTCAAACGGCCAATGAAACCGTCACACGCTGCATTCCCATTTGGCCCATTCCCGGCGAAGAACTTGCTTGAGGTGATCGACACTTTGGTATATTTTAGTGCCAACCTTACTTTCCAAAATAATCCACAATAGCCCAACGGATTGGTATCCGGAGATTTTGGTGGTCATTGTGCGCTGGAAATGAAGCGAGGAACCTCATTTTGTAACCATTCTTGGGTGGCGCGTGCTGAGTGCTTCGGTGCTGAGTCCTGTTGGAATGTTCAAGGCTTTAATACACCCTCCAGAATATTTTCGAAAAAATATTCGGCATTTATTCTGATGCCACGGTCGATTAATACCAGCGACCATCGGCTGTTATTGGGGGCCCACACCACCACCATGGGCGGCATTTGAGTTCTGGTGGCCAGCCGAAGGTGCACATTTTCAGCTGAGCTCTTTGGCAAGTAAACACAATCCTTTTGTTTGTTTACAAACTGCTGAACAACGAATGTTTTCTCATCGGAGAACACCAAATTCGGCAGTTCCCCACTTTCAGCCAAGCGAAGCAACTCTTTAGCTCTTTTGAGTCATTTTCTTTTTGTTGCGGTGTAAGTTCTTACACTTTTTGGAATTTCAATGGTTTTGCCCCGATCCCAATATTTTCCGAATAGAATATTGCGATATGTTCAACTCACGAGCCATTTCGGGTTTCGATCAAGTCGCATCTTTACTTTTCGAACCATTTCTGCTGATGTTGCTGTTTTCTTCCGTCCACTTCCTGAACGTCGGGCTACGCTACCAGTATCACGATAACGAGCGATGGTACGAGACACAAAAGATTTATTCACAATTAAATGCTGGAGTGCTCTAACGATAGTCATTTGTGGTTTTCCAGCCAAATATAAAATATCGGGGGTTCTGTTATATGGCGACTATAGCATCAGGCGAACCTGAGGTTTTTGGTATAATAAATCATGGACCTATATGTCCCATTTTCAATTCAAATAATTCTACGGGCCAAAACCACTTCTTCATTCATCAAACTCTTCATTTCCACAGACATGACAAAATCGACGAAGAATTTAGTTTTTTTACCTGTTCTGTATGCCCAACATTTTTGCATTTCTTCTGCGAGTCCAACATTTTACACTGGAACCCATTCGGTTTTAAATATATTCAACCTGTTAAGATTTCAAAATATAAATTTTAAGAGACTTCGGTACCTCTACATGGTGCTTATAAAAAATATTGACCTATATGGAACATTTCCTTCAAAGATGGTTCACATATCCTTTTGATCAAATCGGCCTATGTAGGTAGAGGTCAAAATGATCCAGTGTCAATATCATTCCTATACAAATAATATTAGAGGTACCCCAGTGCCTTCAACGTGACATTTACACAACATTGGTAAAACATAAATTGAGCATTCCACCAGCGTTCTTCTCTTTCCACATGACAGACCACAGACCTCCTCTTGCAAGCAACGTCTCTACAACGGCAAAAGGTCACCTTGGAGCAGCCAGTCAGTGGTGGTTTCCTAAAAATACAACAACAGTGCCAGCACCAGTCACAACGATATGGACGTGCGTTAGCTGAATGCATAACCATAGTAACAACACACACACGCACGTACATACAGACATCCATGAGGCACTCTCTGTGTGCCTCTTTCTCTCTGGCTGGGTGAGTCAAAAAGAACAATGTTTTCATTGAATACCAAGAAATTTCGTCATTATATCCAGCCGAAGCCATTGGCATGGGGTCTTCGAGGGGATAGCGGGGAAATCACGTCTGGATTGGTGGGCAAGTAGTTGGGTTGGTTGTGATACCCAACATGAAGGGATCACGACCACTTGTGAGTAGTGATGATGACGTCGTCGTCTTCATCGCTTTCCTAATAATGACGAACGATGATGTTTGATGTGTGGCGGCGGCTCTTTATAAATAACGAAATAACGGCATAACCCGGCATTATATCTTCTCACTGAGTTGAGTGTGATTGAGCGCGAGAACACGCAGTAACAACACAACTTTCAAACAACCGCACAAAAGAGATTTAACAAAACAAAAATTTGCTGCTCCAGCAACAAACCAACTAAACAAAAATCCAAAAGTGAAACAAATTTTCAGTTCAGAAGACAGTTCGTTTTCAAACGGCTAACAGTGCAGACACGTTCAAGTGAATACCTTGCTCCTTTTGGCAACCCGTGGTGAATCCCAGTGAATTAAAAGTGAGTGTGCGTTCCATCGAAAATATTTTGAAATGAAGAAAAGTAAAATGAACAGCAAAAGAAATGAAACTAATTATCCGCCAAGATACAAATCAGAAATTTTTGTTGCAACATGGAATGGCTGGCTGGCACTCTCTAAACAGCCAGCATTTTTAGTTTGAATTTATTGTTGTAATTGATACATGCACATATGTTTGTCCTCAGTTTGCGTCCAGTGATCTCATTTTGATGTCATAGTGATTTTTTTATTGCATTTTCATTTGTTAACCCCACGAGTGAGTGTCATTCGAACAAAGTCAGATGGGCTTTTATTTTGTTTATTTCATCACAAGACTTGAATGTAAATATTTTGAAATGGGTAAATTACTTTTCAAGTCCTTAAATCATGAAATATTTGTATATTTTTATATAAATATGTATATTTTGAAAGGGTGTAAAAAATGGAATTTTTGGTATTCATTCATTTGCAAATATAGAGACATTCGATTTGACATTTGAATGAAATATTGAAGTTTGAGGCTAAGTTTTTTTTTTTCAAGAACTAAGGTGTAGTTATTATAAGATATGTATATATAGGATAAGAAGAGATATCGAGGAAAATTGAAAAACTAGTAAATTCTTGGATTTTATAGAAAAAATTAAATTTATTAATTTATTTTTTCCGAAAAAAATAGATGATTGTCACATGTATCTTATTAATACATAGTCTGATTTATATCTGGAGGAAAGAAATGTACCTATTTTTATACCCTCCACCATAGTATGGAGGGTATATTAAGTTTGTCATTCATTCATGTCAGTATAAAATTCTATGTCGATTTAGCGTTGTCCGTCCGTCTGTGGAAATCACTCTAGCTTCCGAACGAAATGAAGTAAGTTGATAAAAATGTACTCAAATGTGTATTGTGTCTGCAGGACTTTTGGTATTGAAAATGGGCCATGTAGATCCACGTCTTCGTATAGCCCCCATTTAACAGTATCTCCCGATGTTCGATATTTTGATGATTTTAGCGACATTATTCACCGGAATTGTTTCAAATCTGGTATTTGAAATTCGTAATAGATACTACAGCATAGGACAGAAAATTGTCTGTGCAGGTCCACCTCTTCGTATAGCGCCCATGGTACCTCCCTATATTCGGTATTTTGATGATTTTAGCTACATTATAAAAAGATTTTTTCAAGTTTCGCATTTGATTATTGTAATAGCTTATGACAAAAGTTGCCTATGCAGGTTCATTTCGTCGTATAGACCCTAATATGCGGCTACATTCGATATTTTTAAGATGTTAACAGAATTTTTAATGGATTTTATTTGCTTGAAAATTGCCAAACTTTTACCAAATGGTGGAGGGTATTCAAAGTTCGGCCCTCTCCGAACTTACAGCTTTTTTACTTGTTAACAAACAAGTTATCTCTGATAGTTGTTGATTTCATTTCAGAATATTCAAATTTTGTTTGAAAAATATGTCTATTTTAGATACGTATAAATTGTGAGGAGATACTCGTTCTATTCTAGCCCATATTGGTCTATAAAACCATGTAATTGTCATGATCACAAAAAAGAAATTAATTAAATATATAAATTTATATAAATCTGTGAAGATACTGGAAATGTTGATATCTGTTGATTCGGAAACAAACCCATTTTCTCTATCTAAATCGTCCAAAATCACAGATTTGTTGTAGTACATCGTAGGATCTGTTTGCATTAGTTTATGTTTCAAAGTATAAGTTTTATACGAAGCATTTTAAAATTCCTAAAAATCCACAATTTTATGTGTTTTTTGCTAGAAGTAAAAAAAATCATATTTTATCTCTTTTAAAAATTGGGCATTATTGGAATAGCTAAAATCTTCGCCATGAATTTCAATACCAAAGATAAACATATGGCAATAATATACCATTCCTTATTTTCTCTATTCACTAGGATATAGAAACTTCTCCATAATGTATTGCGAATATTCTTTATCCTTATAATTGAATTGGCGATTTGTCCATTCTCCTTCCTTAATTTCACAACAAAAGCACTCTGCTGTTTCCCGCTATTCCCTTACCAACATTTCAAGTTTATTCACCTTAACATGCCCTTGTAACAGCAACTCGCTTGCACTTTTTATAGAGACATGCGCACTTGGCGTCCATTGGGAATCAGCTGCTGGTGTTACAACTTCCCGGAATTCCTGAACAGAAAGAGAAGAGAACAAGCGATAGAAAAGAAAATAAAACACAAACACACCCATTAGAAAAGCAAGCAAGCCAGCCAGCCGACAGCCAAATTTTGACTTTGAAATGCGTTGAAGGTCACATAGTGGTGATTCCAACTCACTTCCCAATTCAATAGACTTATCATTTTTCCCCCGCCCTGCCCCCAGCATTATTTGTTTATTTTATCTATCTGCTTGTCGAACTAAAACATTTACAAGCGGAATGATTTGTTGTTTTTTTTTCATTCAATGCCTTCATAGTTTTTAGATTTTGCAATTCAATATTCGCAAAGATAAGATAAAAATACCAATTTTTGTGCAAAACAAATTCTTATAACTAATCTCTAGATTAATTTTTTTAGTTGCACCATTAACTCGATTTCTTGAAATAGGTCTCCAACTGTATCAGAGTAACCGATATCGTCCGTTTAATTGGTGCCATTAATACAGTGCTTGGAATTTGATTAGTAATTGTTTTTAAGCTATTAATAAGCAATTGATTAAAAGCATGTGATTCATAAATTATGAGGCACGAGACTGAAATGTAATATTATGCGTTTGGTTAGTTCATTTGTTATAAAAGAATTGTGGGAAATTGTTAATCACATGGAAAGGAAATATATATTTTAGAATTTGATGATTTGAATTTGAGATTAACTACTAGTAATCATATTTCAAATGTTCGATTGATTGCACAAATATTTTCTCTATGGTTAGGCTTAAATAATATTTGCAAGCAGAGGGGTTTCTATACTGCATTTGTACATTTGTTTGTAACGTGGGTCTAATTTGTTTGTTTCTGCCGTGGTAGAAGAATACAGGTAGACGCATCGACACAGCAGCTGGGACAATGAACTGTCAAACCAATTTTAGAACTACAACTTTTGAATGAAAAACTCTTTGAATTTGTAAAAAAATTTGAAAAAGACATATTATAATAACCTCCGATTGACGTCGTATAAGAAAACATATAAAAAATCTACTTAAATTTGAAAAAAAAAACAATTTAAAATTTTTGGTATATAAATGTTCTCAAGCGGTGGTGCATCTTCCTGTATTCTTCTACCATGGCAGAAACAAACAAATTAGACCCACGTTTCCTTTTGATGAACTCCAAAGAATCACATTCTGAGTCGATTTATGTATGTTCGTCCTTCTGCCAATGTATTTTTATTTGGCTCAACGAACCCTATTAACCATCGGTCCAAATTTAGATATAACTCCCATACATATCTTCGTTCGATTTCAATTGTATTTTATTATATGTGTACTATTCATCCAAATGGAATGGATTTCGGCACATCCAACCGAATTCAGTTTTAAAACAGGTTCTTAAAAATCGGTTAAGACATAGCAATAGCTCCCACATATACGTTTCATCGGATTTTGTGTTTAAGCCCTTCACATTCGTAATATGCACTTCACAATATTTGATACCAGATATTAGGCACAGCTCAGAAATGCCTCTGCCAAATTTTATCGATATCGGTTCAGATTTGGATAAAGCTTCCACACATATCTGCATATATATATATATACCCTACACCACATAGTGGTATTGTGCCTTTGTGAATTTGTTTGTAACATGGATAAGGAAACGAGATAAACCCATAGTTACTTTTGAGGATCTTCATATAATCACTTTCTGAGTCGATCCATGCATGTGAGTCGATTCGTCCGTCTGTCTATGTATTTTTGTAAACGAAAAACAAATCGTATTTATTATCCGATTGAAATGAAATTTTCCAAATTTGGCCGAAGGATGAACCCTATTGAAATTGGTGAGAATCGGTTCAAATTTAGATATAGCTTTTTATATATCTTCAACGGATTTCGAGTTAACTGTTCACCCAATGATCAATATCAGTACAAATGACCTGAATGTTGACACATCCAACTGAATTCAGTCTAGAAGCAAGTACCTTAATTTTGGAGAAAATCGGTTCAGATATAGCTATAGCTTCCATATATATGTTTCATCCGATTTAATGTTTAAGTCCCTCACATTCGTATATGCACTCCACAAGAATGAAATTTGGTACCAGATGTCAGATACGGCCCAGAAATACTTTTGCCAAATTTTATCAAGATCGGTTCGGATTTGGATATAGCTCTCGTATATATCTTCAACGGATTCCGGGTTAGCTTTGCACCAAATAGCCAATATAAGTCCAAATAACCTGAATTATGGCACATCCGAACGAATTCAGTACATCAAGTTTGGAGAAAATCGGTTCAGATAGAGCTATAGCTGTCATGTATATGTTTCATCCGATTTGGTCTTTAAGTCCCTAACAAATATTAATTCCCTGTAAAACCAAACTATAACTGTTCTAAAGCCAAATTTTGATATTAACCAGTTTTGTAGATATAAACTTATCTTGGAATTGAACGATTGAACCATTTAGATCATATTATTTGAAAGAAAATCCAGGCCTTTTATTAATTTATCGCGCTTTTTAAATCATTTTAAAATGTGGAAAAATAGCAAATAAATGAAAACAACTTGTTTCCTATAATTTTGAATATTTCTGACAGGAGGCGGAAATCTTCTCAGAGCTGCATTTCAGCAGTTTTATGAAGCTGCCCAATATTTAGTATAGCCATTTCACGATATTTTGAAGACTCCATATGAATCTTTCAGTGGAATGATATCGAAGCAATATTTGTAAAATTCCGCAAGAAAGAAAGTTGTTCTATACTATTTTCTATTTCAATCAGATTTTCAGGTTTTTAATCATGATTCTGGACAATTCTTAATCAGTAGACTTTTGCTGTAAGATTTTGCAAACTATCAGTTATTCAACTGTCAAAATTGCTATCTTCATACGCTGTACTTACTACATTATTAGGTTATCGAAGAATTTTGTGTGACAATTTGTAAAAATTATTGGGTTATCGTCTGTATACACCCAAAAATAATACATTCCCCAATATATGACTCCCACTCCATAGGCTGCCCAATTATCAATTCTATTTCCCCATATTGAAGAACTAATACACATCGTTTTTCATGCTGTCATCCAATTGGAAAATTTTGTTTCGAAAATAGCTCTCACCACGCGTTGAACATTAAATATATGTATATGTGTATTTACTTTTGAATATTTTGAGATACTTTCTCAACAATTCCATTAAATTGACCTTGCTGAAGGTTATAACTAACAATCCTAGAGAAATACAATGAGTCTATTTGTTGTGTTTGTTTGTAGACGGCCGACTCCCCCGCCATCCAAAATTAACGCAACAGCTCGTGTTGTTTTCATCGACCATCATCACAGCGGCCACCATATTCCGGATGAATATTATTTGGGTCACACGTGACAATTAATTACCTCCGTCGCAATGGTGGGGAAAAGGGAATAACATCTAAAAAAGCTTTTTTTTATTAATAAATTCAAATATATTAACAGAAAATGTTCCATGGCAGTTGTGGTCCATTTCACGATTATTTAATATAGTCACGCACATTTGACCACATTAGGCGGTAGTCATTTTTTTTTTAATTTCGGAATTATATAGGTCCTTGTTCATACAAAATATAAAATAGAGCTTACACAGGCAACTACATTTAAAGTATTTTCTCAATTTTTTCTCAAAATGTCTTACTTACCCATTATAACTTCCTTACCTTTCTTTACAGCTCGCCGCTAAATTAAAATAAAAAAATGGCTTCAGTCAAGGAAAATCTCATGAACCAGGTTGCCGAGGTCTTGCCCTCGTCTGGCAACAAGATTACCATTGTCGGTATCGGTCAGGTCGGTATGGCCTGCGCTTTCAGTATTTTGGCCCAAAATGTCTCCAGTGAAATATGCCTCATGGATGTCTGCAAAGAAAAGTTGATGGGTGAATTGATGGATTTGCAACATGGCTCCAATTTCTTGAAAAATCCCAAAATTACCGCCAGTACAGATTATGCCGCTTCGGCCAACTCCAGATTGTGCATTGTAACCGCCGGTGTCAGACAAAAGGAGGGTGAATCCCGTCTGTCGTTGGTGCAACGTAACACCGACATTCTCAAGCACATCATTCCTAAATTGGTTGAAAACAGTCCCGATACCATTTTGTTGATGGTCTCCAATCCCGTCGATATTATGACCTATGTTGCCTGGAAATTGTCTGGCTTGCCGAAGAACCGTGTCATTGGCAGTGGTACCAATTTGGATTCATCCCGTTTCCGCTTCTTGATGTCTCAACGTTTGGGTGTTGCCCCCACCTCTTGCCATGGTTGGATTATTGGTGAACACGGTGACAGCTCTGTGCCAGTGTGGTCCGGCGTCAATATTGCCGGTGTCCGTTTGCGTGAATTGAACCCCAACATTGGCTCCTCTGAAGATCCCGAGAAATGGAATGAGGTGCACAAGCAAGTCGTAGACTCTGCCTATGAAGTTATCAAGCTAAAGGGTTACACCTCATGGGCCATTGGTTTGAGTACCGCTTCCCTGGCCTCGGCCATCTTGAGAAATACCAGTGCCATTGTTGCCGTTTCTACCTCTGTTAAGGTGAGTCGAAAAGATCTAACAGTTTATTGGAACCGTTTATACTAAATTTCTTGTTTTTTTTTATCAATTTTCAGGGTGAACATGGCATTGATAAGGATGTCTTCTTGTCCCTCCCTTGCGCTTTGAATGCCAATGGCGTTACCCATGTTGTCAAGCAAATTTTGACCCAAACCGAAATCGATCAATTGCAGAAGTCGGCCAACATCATGGCTGAGGTTCAAGCTGGTCTTAAATTTTAAATCTGCAAATGATCTGGTAGGACACAAATTTTAGCTTTTATCAAAGATAGAGAACTTGGTTAGGGCTTTCCCCGACCACTCAACAATCTACCTTAGTAACTATAGGATAATTCTACAAGTATTTGTTATTTATTGTAACATTTTATGTTTTATTGCTGCGCCTCTATGTTTCGTTAGTTATACATTTATGTTCTTTTTTAAGTTCATTAACAATAAAACCATAAAAATTATAGTTTAAAACAATTTGCGAGTTTTATTTGATTTCACGAGTTTTTGTTTTGTTTTTACATTATGAGCAAAGGGTGTACAAGTAATGCATGTATATGATATTGAAAATCGAAAACAGATACTATAACTCAACCGCTACTACCTCATTAGTGGAAATTTGTTGAAATCGGCAGATAGGTTTGCCGATGAAATTAGTAAAATATTCTTGTAAATGTAAACTTTATGGTATTGTAAAAAAAAAACAACTACAACAACAACAAATGCACATTTCATTTTCAATAAAAAGATTTTAGCACGATTATATAGGTGTTGGTAGTTTTACTCAGGGAAAAATATATATCCGAGCCGAGTTCCACAAAATGGAAACGTACGTCCCGAAAATCACTCCATATAGGCTGATATTAGCCATTATTTACACAATAAACCTGAAATCGGATTAAGGATATATATGGGAGCTATATTCAAATCTGGCAAAGATATTTTCGAACTCTATTGAATATCTGGTACCAAATATCATTGTTGTCGAATGCATATTACGAATGTGAGGGACTTAAACACCAAATCGAATGAAATATATATGGGGGCTATAGCTATTACTGAACCGATTTTCTCCAAATTTGATGTACTTACTTCGCAGTTTGACAGATATTGGCTTTTTAGTGCACAATTAACCCGAAATCGGTTGAAGATATATAGCTCCAATATTCCATATCCAAATCTAAACCAATCTTGATAAAAATTTGGCAGACGTACTTCCGAGCTCTATAAGATATCTGGTATCTAGTACGGATGAAACATGTATGGGAGCTATATCCAAATCTGAACCAATCTTGATACAATTTGGTAGAGGTATTTCTGGGCTGCATCTGATATCTGATACCAAACATAATTATTGTGGGGTGCCTATTACGAATGTGCGGGACGTAAACACCAAATCGGATGAAACCCATATATGGGAGCTATAGCTATATCTGAACCGATTTTCTCCCAATTCTATGCACTTGCTTCTAGACTGAATTCGCCGGATATGCCAAAATGCAGGTCATTTGGACTGATATTGGCTATTTGGTGCACAATTACCCCATATCGCTTGAAAATAGATATGGGAGCTATATCCAAATCTGAACCAATCTTGATAAAATTTGGCAGAGGTATTTCCGAGCTCTATAAGATATCTGGTACCAAATTTCATTGTTGTCGAATGAATATTACAAATGTGCGGGACGTAAACACCAATCTGAACCGATCTTGACAAAATTTGATACACTTATTTGAGAGCTGTATCTGATATCTGGTACCAAAGATCATTGTTGTGGAATGCGTATTACGCTCGAGAGGTACTTTTAACCCCAAATCGGATGAAATATATATATGGGAGCTATAGCTATATCTGAATCGATTTTCTCCAAATTTGATGTACTCTTGACTTTTATTTACCATTTGGCGCACAATTAACCCGAAATTATCACCAATTTCAATAGGGTTCGTCCTTGGGCCAAACAAATATTAGCTGCAAAATTTCATATATATCCGATAATAAATGCGACCTACATGGACAGATGGACGGACGGACTGACATGCATGAATCAGAAAGTGATTCTATGAAGATCCTCAAAAGTAACTATGGGTCTATGTTACAAACAAATGCACGAACCACATTGTGGTGTGGGGTATAAATAGAGAGATTAGCAGAGCAGAGATTTGCTCATTTACACTCCGAAGTAAAGTTTACTGGCACAAGAGATTGGTCGAAGAGTGGGAGTTTTATATGGTGTTTGCTCAAATCAGCAAACAAAATATTTTTTACTCAATTTCGCTCTTATTCTTACTCTATTTCGAGTAAATTCCTCTCCAATTTTTCAAAGAGGAGTAACTCGCAAGCCTTCTTTCATAAAACAAAAGAGCAGTAAAATCTAATAAATCGGAGCTCCGACCTCTGACATTGAAAGTTTTCCGCAAGAAGAGCGTATTCGCTCTTACAGCCCAACATACTAAATTAGTTGAAAAATGTCTTCAAAATAATCGAAAACCAAAGGTACAGAAATACAGATCCAATTCTGGAACACTGGGTGTATAAAAAACCAGGAACAATTGACCTTTGAATTTAAGAAATATATCTTTCAATACAATTCCTTACTTCATAAGTCTACCCTATTCTACAAAACTATACCACCTTTGAAGCTCAATGGACCATTAGTTCACCCTTACTCTTTCATTTTCCCATCACCTATGAGTTGACAAAATGCTACGAAAACGGCCACAAAAACAGTTTATATAACTACCGGACTGGCGCTTTCTCTATGCGGAACTTTTGTCAACGTCTTTTGGACATTTCCACACCTACAGAGAAAACGTGACAAACTCAACAAAGCCAACCTATCAACAGATCAACTGGTATCGGTGGTTTATAAGAACAGATTACCGAAGAATTTTCATGTCAATTAAGATTAAGATCAGAACAAAGAATGATTCTTGGTTGGAAAATCATATTGGTGTTGAGTCTCTGTACACTCTGCAGAGCTTTGTCAGTGGAACAGGTGCAACAGAAAAATATTGAAATTTTAACCGAATATTTCAATAAGGGATGGAAAGAGTTTTGTAAGTACTACACTGGTTAGGCGGATATTTGGGTTTTGATATTATTTAATTTTTCGTTATTTTTAGGTGATGCCCCCGTCGACGAGGGTGTTATGTCGCTTTACAATGGCATTAATCCCAGCGATACCACCATTCATGTCCTTACCATAAATAATCAAAGTGTTGAACTGCCCATACGTGCCTTATCGGAGATACGAGATTTCGATATTAACCCGAATCGCAAGACGTTGTTGTATGTTAATGGCTTCTATACGGATGAGAGTTATTTCAGCATTCAGGCCCATTTGCATATGTTACAGGCTCGCAGGAGAGATTTAAATGTTATTGTGGTCAACTTTGCCAAAGATGTGCAGCAGTTGTACTATGCCCTGCGACATCATTTGACTCTGCACGGTTACTTTATATCCAAAATACTTTCTGTGCTGGTGGGTAATGGTATTGATCCCAAGGATATAACCTTGGCTGGACATTCGGTGGGTGCTAATGCCGCGGCATTGGGAGCCTCAATTTATACCACCGAACACATGCATAGCTATTCGACATTTTCGATAATTGACCAACTGATTGCCATAGATCCCTGTTCGTATATCTGTGATTCCCATGACATATTTGTGCGGCGCAATGTTTCTTCACGTGTGGTGGTAATTCATGGTGAGGGTAACTTATTTGGTGTTCGAGAGCCATTGGGCACCATTGACATCTATCCCAATGGCATTGGATTTTATCCAAAACGCAGAATGCAGCCAGGCTGTGAGAGTTGGGTATGTAGCCACATGTATCCTTTTCTTCTGTTCATGGAATCCTTGGTGGAAAGAGTTCCCATTACTGCCGTCAAATGTGAGAGTTGGATGCAATTTAAGGATGGCCAATGCAACTATACGGATACCATTGACATTGGCATCAACTATCCAGTGACTGCCAAGGGTTTGTATTTCTGTATTACCCAGGCACAACCTCCGTTCACCCTGAAAGAAGATGGCTTGGAATATCGAAGCAGAAACAGTATTCTGAAATAAAGATTTGAATGTATTTGTTGATCAATAAAATTAATTCAAATTTGAAAATTTGGCTATAGCTGGTAGCATGTCCACATTGGAAAAGGAAGGTCAGTTTTTGGCGAAAATATATGCTTTATTCCAGTACCTGCAATAATCTACCAGTTTTGCAATTTTTTCTGACATCATAGAAGTAAACATTATTATCGTAGTAAACACTTTTACATTTTTTCAATTCTGGAACATGGCTTCATTCGAATTAGGTCAATAAAGGGCTTGCTTTTATACGACAATACAAAAATGAAATTTAAAGAAAAAAAAAGTGTACTTCGGTCCTCTCGCCCAGAACAATTCTCCTTTTTTTGTCTGTGAATAGGGAAAAACAATCATAAATCTTTCTTGAAAATATACGAAAATAATGAACACAATTTTAACAAGTTTTTCAGTAGATTATAGTTTGACTCATAAACAAGACTTTGTAACGATTATTTCATTATTAATAGAGACTTAAAGTATATTAGAGTAGCTCATTGTTGCAATTGCGACTTTCATTGAACTTTTTCCAAAACCCGATTGTGGTGAAAAAAATAAGATTGATACCAAAAATTCCAAACAGAATGAATTGTAATTACACTATCCAACAAAATCTCCAATAAATCATAATTTGAAAAGGATGACTTCAAAGATAAAAATATTGTTCATAAAATTTTACTATAAGTCACCGAAGAAAAGAAATATCTGTTTCCCTTGTAACCCAAAATATTCTTACATAATGTTTCATATCAGTCCAAATGACCTGAATTTTGGCTGAATTCAGTCTAGAAGCAAGTACATCAAATTTGGTGAAAATCGGTTCAGATACAACTATAGCTCCCATATATGTTTCATCCGAATTTGTCTTTTAGTCCCTCACATTCGTAATATGCACCCCACAACAATGACATTTAGTACCAGATATCGGGTACAGCCCAGAAATACATCTGCCAAATTTTATCGAGGTCGGTTCTGATTGGTATATAGCTTCCATAACCGATATAGCTTCCATATATAACCGATACATTTGTGCATTTGTTTGTAGCAGACAAAAGAAAACGAGATCCTGATGAAATTTTCTAAAAATCATTTGTTTTGACCCAAGGACGAACACTACTGAAATTGCAGATAATCGGTCAAAATTTAAATATAGCTCCCATATATATATTCGTCCAATTTGCTTTTTATTGCGCACCAAACATGTAATATCAGCCCAAATAGTATGGAATTTTGCACATACGACCAAATTAGGCTTGAAAATAAGTATGCCAAACGTGATCATAATCGGTTCAGATATAGCTATAGCTCCTATATATATTGTTCATCCGATTTGTTGTTTATCCTCCGCAGCCGTAATATACAGTCTGTAACAAAGATATTTGGGGAACTATATCAAATACAGCTCAGAAATACCTTTGCTAAATTTTTGTCGATATCGATCCGGATTTTGATATTTCTCCCATGTATATTTTCGTTCGATTTGCCTTTTTTGTGATGAAATTTGGCACTTACGACCAAATTGGGTTTAGGGTTCAGATATAGCTATAACTCCCATATATAATGCTCTTCCAATTTGTTATATGTATGTGTTCTCCACAGCCGTAATAAAGAATCCGTAACAACGATATTCGGGGAAATATTTAAAATACAGCTCAGAAACACATATGTCAAATTTTATCGAAATCGGTTCTCTAGCAAAAAATTGTCTATATAAGTTCACCTCCATAGAGACCTTATGTTATATTCTCTGATATTTGGATATCTTAATGAGCACTAATTCCACTGGCAAAAAGTTGCCTACATAGGTCCAGCTTCTACATCCATTGAGAATATGTTTGCCTGAATTTGTACTGCAAAACAGGGGAGCATTTTGTCACTTATGTTGCTCAGAAATCATTTGAGCTTACTTCGCCTTCTAAAAGTGTCCAACATTTTCTTCCCAATACCAGTTAAATTGTTTTCCTTGAATCATAATCGAGTAGTTTTTATTTGGTTCGATTCATTGTGATTGACGCCAATGTCTATAGATGTGCTCCTAAAAGTATGCTTTCGTTTACGGATAATTACGCACTTTTATCTTAAATTGTGGTTGGCATTTCTACAACCAATAATCTTTTCATAGCAGGTGTGTATGTATACGGAACCCCCCTCCCCGTACAAATGAGAATCATAGAGCAATACCAGTGTTGCCAGTATTTTATTATCTCTCCTCCCTAACATCACAATAATTTGCCCCCTAAAATAACAAATTTTAATAGAATTTTACAAAACAAAATAAAGGTAATATTTGGTTCTAGATTAGGATTTAATTTATTTATTTAATACTAAACGTATAAAACGACATAAAGAAAAGATCCCATAAAGTGTATATATTCATTATCAGCATAACATTTTATGTCGATTTAACTATATCCGTCTGTCTGATGAAATCACGATAGAACCCACACTATGTGAGGTAGAGCTTTGAAATTTGGCACAATAGTTTGTATTGTATCTAGGATGGTTGGTATTGAAACAAATATGAGATGTATATTGGATTAGGTTTTTATATAGCCCCCCCATAACGGTATCTCCCAATATTCATTATTTTAATGACTTAAGACACAGTTTTTTTTGGATTTATGTTGAAATTTGTGTTTGGAGTTCGTAAGGAGTTGCTGTGGCGGAAAAGTGTATATAGTTCCACGTTTCAGTATAGCCCCATATAACGGTACCTCTCGATATTCGGTATTTTTGATGATTATAAGGTATTGATAACAGCTTCAACATCTGGTGGCGGAACATTGTAAATGTAGTCATACGTTTTTCTATAGCAACTAACGGCATCTCTAACGGTACCGCCAGATATTCGGTATTTTTACGATTTATGCCATATTTTTCGGATTTGTTGGAAATGCTGTATTTGTAGTTCATAATGGGGTTTACGGCCGTTGTCAAAACATTATACATATTGGTCCATGGTTTCCACATAAAGGTAAAATCCGATATTTGGTGTTTTGATGATCCTAATAACATTTTCCTTCGGAATTGTTTCAAATTTGGTGTTTGAGGCTTTGACTTTGAGACTATTTTTTACAAATGGGTATTGGAAGTTGGACTGAACTTATTGTTTTTTAGTTGTTTTTGTTTAAATTCCTCATAGATCCCAGAAGGAACTTTTCGTTTCAAGAAATTCCCCATTTTTGGGGAAAAAATCCCCAATACTGGCAACACTGAACAAGAGCATTGACCACAGAGAGTAAGCCAGATTTTTAAGCCAAGATCTCATTGTTTGTTCATGGCTAATTTGATGAGAATGAGAGCGAGCGTCGGGCAGTGTGAATTCGTATGATGCCAACAGGTTAATAACGATACTGGTACAAGCCGTCTGAGCACAGTTTCGGCACGGGTCTCAAACGTATACGTTGTGTATTATATTGGAACGGAAATACGCGTATGGAAACATTGAAAAGAGAAAAAAAAACACAAAAATTTTAATTCGAAACAAAAGAAGTGATTTTAAAACAAAAAAAGAAAAACGGGGCGCAAACAAAATAAAAAGTCAAAGTGTGGAGACCCCGAGATTAAAACAAACAAAAAATAATTACAAAAAAAAAAAAATAATGTAATGTAATGAAAATTGCTCTATGATGCATAGATAATTGTTGTGCTGTAACCAAACCCAAAAACAAAGTAATGAAATCGAAAAGATGGCCTTGTAAAAAGGGGGAAATGAAAAAGAAAAATTCGAGAAAGAAAATTAAAAATATGCCAATGGCCTGAAATCCCCTCCAACAAGAAGTTGACAGCAGTGTCGATGAAGACAAAGAAAGAATGAAAGAATCCGAGACCAGTTTTGAAGCGAAAAGACTGCAGATTTATTTCGGGCAAAAATAAATACTGAAATAATGCAAGTTCGAATGACAATCGCAGCAAATTTGCCAACTTCAAAGATTGATTTATTGAGAAAGGGCTTTGATATATTTATTATTTTATGGGCCATTTCGTCAAAAACTTGTTAATTTTTTATGGAATATTTTGTTGTTGTTGTTGTACATGGAATATTTTGTGGTTGTTGTTGCTTTTGTCAGGCCACAACCATAATTTATTAACAAAAATTTTGTTTTTGTTAATTTAAATTTGTTGATGTGTGTTGTTTTGTTATGTAGCCGTTGTTGTTGTTGTTGATATTCCACATTATTATTGACTTTCATTTATTGTTGTTAGCTTGGCTTAGAGGTTGGAATTTGTCTGGCTTAAACTTCAGGTTACAGTTTTGTTTCCACTTTATTTTCACACATGTGTGTTCGCGTCCGTCTGTCTGTCTGTCCGTCCGTCTGTCCGCTGGTTTGTCGGTATGTTGTCAAAACCAGTGTCTCTATGTAATTTCATTGTTGATTAGCTAATTTTTCTCTTGACTTTCGTTGGTCGCTCGTATTAATTGCAAACAAAACCGCACTTGTTATTATCAAACTGAAATTTTTCCATGTAAAATACTCGATCCGATTCCCAATCTAATTGAAAATTAGGTGTCTTCTTCTTCTTTCTCCCCTTGTGAAAATTGAAACTTGTATCAATTGCAATTATTCCCCGCTCTTGGCAAAATTATTGACACTGGGTACAAAGCGTTCGCGCTGCTGTTGCTCTCTTACTCACCGAGAGATCTTTCAATAGTAACTGGCTTTAATACAAGCCAGTTGTTGTTGGTGTTGTTGATTAGCCGCAACATTTGAAAATCTATACTTAAATTTGTAAACAGGGCTGAATCGGGAAAATTTAAAATATTTATACCTAGAAATCTAGGTGTTAATACAGATTGAAGAAGAAAAATTTTAAAAATAAGTTTTGTAAAAGCTTGTAAATGTGAGATATTTAAATACATAAAAATTTTGTGTACATGTGAAAATTCAAAAGATACTGAAATTGTTACAATTAATATTGAACGAAATTGCACTAAGTACGGAAAGTAGTAAAACTACCATTGGCATTGTACAATCGACCTTCGTTTTATGTATTTGTACATTTGTTTGTAACATGGAGAAGGAAGCGAGATAAACCCATAGTTACTTTTGAGGATCTTCATAGAATCACATTCTGAGTCGATTTATGTATGCCAGTCCGTCCGCCCGTCTGTCCTTGTATTCTTGTGAAACAAAATATCTTAAACCGATTTCGGGTTATTTGTGCACCAAATGGCCAATATCAGTCCAAAAGATTTGAATTTTGGCACATCCGACCGAATTCAGTCTAGAAGCAAGAACGTCAAATTTGTTGAAAATCGGTCCAGATATAGCTATAGCTCCCATATATGTGTTTCATCCAATTTGGTGTTTAGGTCCCTCACACTCGTAATATGTATTCGACAACAATGATATTTGGTACCATATGGAGCTCAGATTTGGATATAGCTTCCATATATATCCTTTATCCGATTTCAGGTTTATTGTGCCATTATTTGGCTAATATCAGTCCAAAAGGAAAGAATTTCGGGACGTATGTTTCCATTTTGTGGAACTCGGCTCCGATACATATTTTTTTAACATTTTTGATAAAATCCTTCTCGAAGTGATATCATGCACTCTATAGCAATGTTATTTGGTATAAATGATTAAAATGCCTCCGTCTAATTTAGTGGTTGATAGGAGGTATCATCTACTTCAAATAATTTATTTTGTGGTGGGAGCTAAATATGCATAATGGTGTAGGGTATAACATAGTCTAGCACTTATATAACGGTACCTCCCGATCGGTATTTTGAAGGCTTCTGCTACAATTTCCAACCAAATTAGAAAAAACTTGATAATTAGGGTTCTCGGCAGGTCAGTTTTCTCCTAGCAAAAACGTTGGATTCAGGCCCACTAATTGGTATAGCCCCCATTTAACGATATCTCCCGATTTTCGGTATTTTGAAGGTCTCTACCACAATTTCCAACCTTGCAAATAATTTTCGTTTCGGTCCACTAATTGCTGTAGCCCCCATAAAACAGTACCAGAGTTCATTTTTAAGACTTTAAGACTAACAATAGGTAAAAATGTTAAGTTTTTGAAAATTTCAATTACAATTCCCTACAGAAATTTGGGATTCAAGTTCTTCTTACGAAAAAAACCATCAATATCAGTCCACGTTTTAATGCAAGGCTTATATGCGATACTTGCGGATTTTGACATGGATAAGAGTCCAGTCCATATTCTGCCGCCGCAGTGACTGAAATCGCAAAAAATATTCAATATTAAGGTTTGTTCTCCATTTATTGAATTTTGAGGGAGACGATCATTTTTCCCAACAAATGGGCACACTTTGTGTCCGCTGTACCTAACGCCGTTTTCAATTCTACATTCTATTCAATATATACATACAAATAATATCAAATTAAAACAAGTAACAAGAGCTGTAAGTTCGGCCGGGCCAAACTTTGAATACTCTCCACCATTTGGAACAAATAAATAAATAAATAAAATCTGTTGAAAATTCTGTTAAAATCTTACAATATACCGAAAAAAGCTGTTATATTAAAGTCTATATGACGACATGGACCTACATAGGTAACTTTTGTCATAAGCTATTACAATATTCAAATGCGAAACTTTAAAAAAATCGGTGAATAATGTAGATAAAATCATGGGGGCTATACGAAGACGTGGACCTGCACAGACAATTTCCTGTCATAGCTTGTAGCATTCATTACGAACATCAAATACCTAATTTGAAACAATTCCGGTGAATAATATCGTTAAAATCATCAAAATATCGGGAGGAACCGTTAAATGGGGGCTATATGAAAACGTGGACCTACATGGTCCATTTTCAATACCAAAGTCCTGCAAATTTTATCAATCTACAAATTAACTCTCTTCTGCTGTGAAATTCCGTGTCGATGAGTTTCAATTGTGGCCTATAGAGCGACTACAGAATTAGAAAAACTTAATTTGGTTTGGTCCATTTTTGACCCAATAAAACTTATAATACCCCCAACACATAGTGTTGTAGGGTATAACAATTGTACAAATTATGGTGAGAATATGTCGATATTTTATAACAAAATCTTCCGTTCTTCTAAAAGTCGAAAAGGACATGCAATTTCATTCATTTAACATTCGATCCAACCCACTGTATGCACATACATTCATGCACCCGATGCTACGGTAGATAGACAAATCCACTTCGAGTATCTACACTCAGCTGAGAGCATTCGGTGCTGACTAGAGTTACAAATATGGATACTCTGCGCCCAGTTTATTGCCAGAGCAGAGACCAAACAATAGTTTGCAGTTCATACGTTTACACAAAAATACGCTGGCTTATTTAAGCGGTGGATGGATGGGTGTTTTGTTTTTTTTTTTATTATTTGGCTTAAAGATTGCGTAGATATTTTTTTGAGTTTTATTTTACTCTCGTGTTTCGTGGCTGGTTATTCAATTCAATTGTGATTTTGGCCCCAAAATAATAAAAACAACAACTAAACGATCATAATAACCAACATAACAAAATCAAAGCAACAACAAGCGTTTGCCTGAAATTAAAGTGACCAGAAAAAAACGCGAATGCGTCTACACGAAATTTAAAGCAGATCTTGTGAATTGAATTGATTTGCAGTTGTTGTTGGTGTACATCACTAATCAATCGAAATGAAATGTTAAAATGTGTATCTTTATATGAAAAAATATTTCGATTTGTGGAATCATTCTTGGACCAGTTTTAAGACACATTAGATTCTTCTTTCTCATCTTCCACTTTTTGGAGGGGATTTTTTCATTCCAACTTCCATTGAAGTGTTGTGATCAGAAGTGTGTATATCATCGTTATTTACTTCATTATTTTTTTTCCATTTCATATAGGTAAGTTATGTTCTTTGTTCAAAAATCAACATCAATTTTAATAAATTTTATATTTGTTCACTCGTCGCCTTTTGTTGTTCTTAATTAATTGTTAATTATAGCCTATTTTGGTGTATTACTGAATATTCTGTACAATGTCGTTGATGTTTACTTCTCAGTTAATTATGTTTGCTTATATGGCAAAACATTTAAGCTGGCCTATGTCTGATCCAGTTTGGATTCAATAAAACGTATTTCAATTAATAAATTATGACATACGTACATATGTACATATGTATGTACATGTGCGATGAATAATATCTAAAACAAAGTGACGGTTTTATTTTTCAGCTGGGTATAGATATAAAAATAAACAAAGGAAGAGTAAATAAATGAAAAGTTCCCTTTTCTAAACGGACATTGATTTGTTTTATGAGAAATCATTTTTTAGCTTATATTTTCCAAACAAGATTCCGATTTGTGCTACAAAATTCAAGATGGAATATAATTCCCTTAAATATGAATTATTTAAGCACTTTAGGGTAGACCTATTGAATTGAGTTGCCCATGTTTTTATTAAATTATTTGAAAACAAGAAAGGACAGGCTATAGTCGTGCGGGGCCGACCATGTAATACCCCACAACGCTACAATATGTCGGAAGCCCCCTTAAGTCCAAATTCATTTTGGAAGATTTAGTTTTTGAAATGATGCCTCAGAGCCCTGTTCGATGTTACCCTTAGCTTTTTGCCCGGTGGCATTTGCCCAATATTTATGCTCTCTGTCGTGCTGAAAGTTATTCAAAACAATTTAACACAAAAGTTGTCCTCAATTTTACCTGCCAAATATAATCCAATGGTCATCCAAACTGTTAGACTTCTTCCCTGACCTTAACTCTCTTCCCATACAAAATTCAGTGTTGATTGGTTTTTAATTATGACCTGTAGAGCGATTGCGTGATCGAAAATTTTATTTTTTTGGTTCATTTGACCCCTTAAATGTACATCTTTAAAAACAATAGGTTTCAGTGTTGACCCTAACCCTAAGCGAAATTTCGTGAGAATCGGACGATAATTGTGACCTGTACAGGGTGAGATAAAAAAAGGAAAAAAGCAGCTATGTTCGGTCGGGCCGAACTTTAAATATCCTCCACCATTTCGAAGGAACTTGAAAAATTAAAAAAAAAAAAAACGAAAACTACCACTTAAATAAAAACCGTTGTATGGGGACTATACGAAGACGTAGACCTGCATACAAAAAAATTTGCCATTGACTGTAGTACCCATTACAAACTTCAAATACGAAATTTTAAATAATTCCGGCAAATAATGTCGGTAAAATCATGAAAATACCGAATATCGGGAGGTACCGTTAATGAGGGCTATACGAAAATGTGGACCGGCATGGCCCATTTACGAACTTAACCTGCCTACATGTATGCAACGCCTTCTTCTCAAGCCTTCTATCTCAATTCGTTCGAAAGATAGCATGACAGACGGACACTGTAGATCGTCTTACAAATTTACTCTTATGAATATTTCGACGTGTTACAAACGGAATGACCATAGAATGATGGAGGGTATAAAAACTGCAACAAAGTCAAACGCCATAATTTTTAACGGATTGGTATCCGGAGATTTTGGAAGCCATTATGCGCTGGAAATGAAACGAGGAACCTCATTTTGTAACTATTCTTGGGTGGCGCGTGTTGAGTCCTGTTGGAATGTTCAAGGTCTGCGGCCAAAATGTTTGCGTACCCAAGGCTTTAATACACCCTCCAGAATATTTTCGCGATAATATTCGGCGTTTATTATGATGCCACGGTCGATAAATAGGAGCGGAGAGCGACCACACCATCACCATGGCCGGCGCTTGTGTTCTGATGGCCAACCGAATTTGCCGAATGGAATATTACAATATGTTCAGCTCACAAGCCATTTTTGGCCACTGCGACGCGGCTTTCGATCAAGTCGCTTCTTTCCTTTTTGAACCATTTCTGCTAATGTTGCTGTTTTCTTCCGTCCACTTCTCTGACGACGGGCTACGCTACCAGTATCACGGTAACGAGAGACAAAAGATTTATTCACATTTAAATGCTGGAGCGCTCTAACGATAGTCACTTGTGGTTTTCCAGCCAAATATAAAGAAATCACACTATCACGCTTGAGCTGTCACTGGAATAATTTTAACAGCTGTCGGATGAGTTGCTTGGGAAGGACAGTCTGAAGTTGGTTGCAGTTTTTCCATTTCACCCTGTATATTGTACCTATTTTACTATATATCCGATATCTTGTCTCTCAGATTCACTAAAATGGTCAGAAGAAACCTGATAGCGTGTTATTTTGGTTTCGCCGCGATTAAAAATATTCGGAGTTTTAATGGAAATTTTCGCAATTTCTTACATAAAAGTTATGGTCAAACCATAACCAGTCAAATATTGTTTGATGACTATGCAAATTGGCAGGCTTCTGTCCAGCATAACCTCTAACCTGTATAATTGTGGTCTGTAGAGCAACTGCAAAATCAGAAAAATTTTCGGTTTTTGGTCCATTTTAACCCCCAAATATTTTGGGATAATCTCTTTAAAAAATAGGTTACTATTCCCCAACATTTTATTTTCAATTTCGTCAATATCGAACAAAATTGCGAGCTCTAGCGTGATTACAAATTAACATGAACAGACGGACGGAAGGACATAAATAACTATATCGACTAAGCTCAGCGAGATAGGAAGATCCATATGTAGTTTCCTATGTCGGGGTCCAATATTTCAAGGTGTTACATAATTTTTGGCCTAATCAAAACTATAATACACCCAACACATAGTGTTGTAGGGTATAAAGATCATAAGAGATTTTTTTATTTTTATATGTTTTTTAAGAAATAAAAACATCAAAATAAAATAAATATCATTTAAAGATGCTGGCGCCAATAAGATGCCAAGATAATGGATGCTTATGTCAACTTCTTGTTAAGAAACAAAATTATGTAGGTATACTCCATCCCTTTTGTCTCTCTCCTTTTAATGAGCGAAACGAAATCTAACAGGTAAAAACCCCTGGACAGGCAATTTTTAATATTTCGTTTTTTTCATATTTTCTGTGTAATGACCGAAAAAAGATACCAAAAAACCCCAAATTAAAAACGTGCGAAATACATTCGGTGGAAACCTTGAATAGTTGTCGAATACATCTTTTCTGATGAAATATTTGCTGCGATTTCTTATTTAAAACCACTAACAAGACAAGGCGCATGTTGCCGGGCAACTGAACTGGCATTCAGACAAGAGATCAATCACTCAATCTGAGTTTTTTCTTCATTCAGATAAACACAAAAAAAACCAACCAACAAAAATCCGATATTTTTGTGCGGAACTTTGTTATAAATGTGCTAAATGCCTTTATTTTATAAATTCATTGTTGGCATCCATAAAAACAACTTCAATATTTACTTTTGCTACGCTCGACGACAACGCTAACAAGATCTTTAGCAAATTTCGCATTTAAAGCTTTGGTCATAGGTATTTTGTTTTATTGAAATAATTTAATAATAAAAATAATAAAAGCCATGGAACCAGCTCATGTTGTCCTTTATAAGTCTAAAGCCATGAACTTTTTTTGAAATAGGTCTCTTGAGTGGGTCATTAGAAAACAAAAATGGTTCAACAACCCTCACAGAAATTTGTTTCAATTGTGTCAATTGGTCTAATGGTTCAAAAGAAACTGTTATCAACTTTAAACTTATTTTTTCAGTACTGCATTTTTTATCAGCAAAGCGAAACATTTTCTAGAACTCGCCAAGCCCAAAAATTGTTGCAAAAAAACTCTAAATTCCCATTTGATAGAATGAGTTCTTAGTATTAATAAAAGACATTTTCAATATTTGAGTTATATCGCTGTAGAAGTAGTTCTAGAGATTGAAACATTAAGAAGGGAGTTATTTCGGTCATGTCAAACTCTATATATCTCCACTATGAGAAAACTTTAATATTGGAATAATTGGTTGTTGTCAAAATCCCTGAAATTTGGGTTAAATGAACGATGCATCAATAACTGTAAATATTGAAAACCCTCGCGGAAGTGTTCTATATATTTAGATTTTCCAATACCGGATTGCAGTCAATTCGAGTGAAAGAAGTTACCAGGATCTTCAAAACACTTAGAGTTATTCGTTCCCGCCTTACGGATTTTATGTCAATATGAAGCGATATTAAAATTTATTTTCATTCAAATTTAGGATAAACTAAATAACGAACCACTAGGGACACGAAACGATAACTACATGTTTTTTAGATGTTATTCAAATCATTTTTTTTTTTTTTGTAATTCGAGAATTCCATTGGTTATTCTTAACCTTTCAATAGCAATTCGATCATTACATACGTATTTGCTGAAGGGCTCCTACTGTCTACACAAAACCTTCAGGTCTACTAGTGTGTATTGGAAACCTGTATGTCTTTTACTGTCTACGGAAAACCTGGAGGTCTTCTACCCTTTCTAGAAGACCTTTGATGACTTCTTCAGTCTTCAGAAGACCCAGTTGATATCTAGAATACCTTGAGATCTTGTAAAATCAGTTGAAAATTTTGAGGGGCTATATGGTCTCGAGAAGTCTTTGAGGATTTTAATGGTCTATAGCAGATCTGTCTGTACAAGACCTAAAGATCGTTTACTGTCAATATAAGACCTGGAGGTATTCTACTGTATGTAGAAGACCTATATGTCTCCTATTGTCTATAGAAACCTGGAGGTCTTCCACTGTCTATAGAAGATCTGGAGGTCTTCTACTGTCTTTAAAGACCTGAAGGTCTTCTACTGTCTATAGAAGTCCTGAAGGTCTTCTACTGTCTTTAGAAGTCCTGAAGGTCTTCTACTGTCTTTAGAAGTCTTGGAGGTCTATAGAAGACCTGGAGGTCCTCTGCTGGCCAAGGAAGACCTGAAGGTCCCCTACTATCAACTGAAGGCGTCGAGGTATTTTACTGTGTACAAAATACGTGGATGTTTTCTACTGTCTATAGAAGAC